GTTACAGCCTGTATAAAGGAAATATGGCATGAAGCAATGTGTTACAGCCTGTATAAAGGAAAAATTCTAAAAGCAGTAAATTTTTAATTTCATCATATAATAAAAACATTTTACAATTTTCAACTCTAATATTAAATTGAAATTCATATAAAATACTCAAGTCGTAAGTTTAAGTAATAAGTTTAAGCTGTAACAAGATAGAACTTCTATATCGATGCATTAAAAAGAAAAAGAAATTTAATCCGCGTGTTAACACGTAACTACTTGCAAGAAAACCAAAACAGGTTAAAGGTCCAGCTTCCAGTCTACCTAGATTCTTCAAATTTGGCATGAAGCTAGGTGCTATAACACACATAATGGGAAAATTCCGCAGATAGTAAATTTTTAGTTTATATGTATTATATATATAAACTATAAATATATATAATAATATATAGAGTTTCTAAGAGAGTTTATGTTTTATCATTAACTGCCTTCCTACAATATTTAAATGGTCTTTCTTTCCTCTCAATCAGTTGCTAATGCACATGTTAAGAGTTTTGTTTGGAACGTAGGAAGCAATGGTCAGTGTAGGCGGGACATTATGAATGTAACACGAGCTCGCGAACCAGTTTGCGGGCGACAACTGCGTATACTTTGTAATGAATAATACTATCAACGGCAACGCGGTACATACATACATCAATACATACAACAATACAACAATCATACTCGTACATACGAGTGTGTAAGCAAATAGCAAGAAGCAAAGTGACGCAGCCCTCGCTCCTGCATGTCATGTGGGGGCCACGACGCCGGGCGCGTGTCATTTTCTAAAATCAGTTAATCCTGTTATGCAAGTTAGTGCTATGATCATTTGAGACAATTGACCCATTGGCTTGTTGACTGTCACTTGGCGGCCGCGTGGAGCAGGAAGTAGCTCCGTTTCTTTTAAGTCTTCCGGCGACGATGCGCGACGAATTACCCCTCCCCCGCTGGCGCACTTGTCCTAACTCACCTCTCCGTGACGTCACACGCGCTTTACACACAGAGCATCTGTTATAGCTCACGACAACCGGCGTCTAATCGTTTACGTTTAAGTCAACAGAACTGCGTACATGGTTTTGATGATCTGCAGTAGTTTTTATTTTCCTCGATTGTATACAAATGCCGGCTGTTCCAAGCTGCATTAATGGAGCGTCGCGCTGCTAACCGCCCGGTCCCGGACGTATATACGGCGCGGTGCGGCGCCCTCTGCCTCTCTGCATTTTTGATTTACTTGATATAACAGACACTTGGCGTTTGTTTATCAGTAATGATTTGTAAAGGAGTTGAACGTTTTATCTGTTTGATTATGATACCATATCTAATCCCACTACCAGCGGTTACTCAATTGACGATTGCTGATGTAAAGGTTAAGTGGTTGTCGTCGCCCGGCAGCAGAGGGCGCGCGGGGACAAACTGTGCAAACTCACTCATATTATATTGTATTTACTTAATATTTGTGCAAACATTAACATTGGCACACAACATATAAGTATGTATAAGTTTATAGGATATGTTTTACTTTATGTACCGATCGTATACTTGTACATATCTACTTTACGCTCTGAACTCCGCTAAATCATATTATTACTGCACACAATTCAAACATATGTAATAAATATATGTAAAAATGTATGTATATATGTCATTATTTAATATCATTTGTTTCAAGCATTTTATTCATAAACCCGAAAAAAGTAGATAAACAGCCGACCGACTAAATAACAAAATATATACTTGCAACATCTTTTAACTTTTCGCACTTTTACCAAACTTGTTTGTAAATATTATTATAGAATTAATTTATTGTTTATACACAGTTTATATGTTACGTATTGGTGGTGTTGCTTTTACTTAAAGAGAGATGATTGGTGGTGTTGCATACGGACATATAATATTTATAACGATGATCGTTTGCAAGCAAGTGAATGAAAGAGGCGCGGCTCTTGTGTGTATATCGGGTCGCATCATCTGTCGGTGTTCACCGCTCACATCAAACATTGAACATTGAACACATTGAAAACAACAACGATCAATTGTCACTTATAACGAGACGAAACAGAAAGTATTCATAGCATTTGCATACGAATAGAAAAAGCGACTCATTATAAATGTCAACGTTAAGTAGTAAAAATCACAAGTTTACACTATTACTATCTAAATTATCACTTTCAGGGATAAATATTTGTGATATTATTTTGTCGCTCCCAACAACTGCCGTATAATGACGACATTTTAACTATTTGATTTCGGTGTGGGGAACAGCGTCAGTGAGCTTTCACTTCCATTAACAATATCTACAAAAATTATATTCATTACAGTTACTGAAGCGTACAGATTTTATGTACGAGTACATCTATCTGATAATTTCGCGATGTCAGCATTCAGCAGACTTTCGTCAAAAATGTGAATACTTTACATTTGTCCAAAGAAAGGCCTCGCTAAAATGATGAAAGTCGGCCGACTACTCAATCAATGCTAGTGTAATCTTAACAATGTTCCCGCAACATCTGCGACGGCACCGACATCACCGACATCACCACACCACCGGCCTCACCTACTGGCTATAATGGCTTTATCTCATGACACAGCAACATACTTTTACTACTTGTATTACAGTTGTATTAAGCAGTAGTTACTCTCTCCCTCTCTCTCTCTCTCACACACACGTGTTGGCCGGATGCACGCAGGCTGGCAGCCGCTGCGAAATTGCACGCCGCCGGCCATCGACGACTTCCCGGCGGGCCTCTTCAGCGAAGCGCAGCGGCAGCACGGCGCCATCGTGCTGCACGCGCTGCTGTCCGTCTACTTGTTCGTGGCACTCGCTGTCGTCTGCGACAAGTTCTTCGTGCCGGCCGTCGACAGGATCTGCCACGGTGAGAGTACGTTGTCGCCCTCGCCCTACGGTGGTGGCGTTAAACTGTGTGCTCGGCAGATACCATACGGTCGTTCACGTTGCAGCGCTCAACATGACGAACGACGTGGCGGGTGCGACATTCATGGCGGCGGCCACCTCGGCGCCGGAGCTGTTCGTCAACGTGATCGGTACTTTCATCACGGAGGGCGACATCGGTGTCGGCACCATCGTCGGCTCCGCCGTCTTCAACATCCTCGCGGTGGCCGCGTGCTGCGGGATCGGCGCTGGAATGGTTTACACTCCTGAACACTTTATACACTTATCTATTTGTTTAAATATTATACTAGCTGTTATATATGAATGTTTTCGACACCAATACATCTAAAATTCCAAATTGTCCTGTTGTGGCAGGTGGTGCCCCTGGACTGGTGGCCACTGACGCGCGACTGCCTGGCCTACGGCATCACCGTCTCCATTCTCATCTGCATAATGCACGACGAGTACGTGCAGTGGTACGAAGCCCTCCTGCTTGTGTCGCTCTACGGACTTTATCTTTGTATCATGTATTACGACAAGTCAATTCAAACCTTTGCTAAAGGTGCATATTACGTTTTTGAAATGTGTTTTTGTTGGTGATACGTATAGTCTATTAATGGCCAAGTTATTAATTTCAGGCAGCTGGAAATGTGTCTCGGAAATGTTAAAGAAAAATGAAGGGAAACAAGAAAGCCCGTATGGTGTCGCCTGCGCGGTACCTGCCTGCGGCGGTATCAATAACTTATTAAAAAAAATACTTTGATTGAACGCAACTTCTGCGGTAAATATAAACGTAATGTATACATTTCCAGACCTAAATGAATCTAAAATAGCCTCGACTCATCAAAGGAGTGACGCGTCGGCGGGTCACTGTCTGCACAACGGAAACATTCGCAGCCCACCTTTGTTCCGCGACCAAAGGAAGTTGGAGACCATCGAGGACGAGGACAAGATGATGAGCCGTGCGGAGGAACTGGCAGTCCCCGAGGCGGACGATGTCGGCCAGGTGGAAGCCGCTACCAAAGTCGACATCGACCTTGCGAATACCTGCGAAGTGGACGGGTACGAGCATTCCCTGTGGAAGTGGCCCTCGGGGCGCAGTAAGCTCACTAAGGTATTCGTTTTTCTTACTTATTTCTTGTGCTTGTGTATGAATTGTTCAATTACGGAGATGCTGATTGCATGTTTATCCTCATTGGCAGATCGCTTGGATCGTAACTTGGCCGATCCACCTGGTGTTCCTGTTCACGATACCGGACTGCGAGAAGCCTCGCTTCGAGACCTGGTTCCCGTTAACGTTCGTGATGTGCATCGTGTGGATAGGATCCTTATCGTATATAGTCGCCTGGATGATCACTATCATTGGTTCGTTCTTTTCTGTCGTTATGGTTCCTGCATTTCTAACGTTTATGTATTTTGTTGCGGTATTTAATATTTTACGAGATTTTATAAGTTGTCTGTAAGTAACATTTAATTTCCTAGGTGACACGTTAATGATACCGGACTCGGTGATGGGCATAACATTCCTGGCCGCCGGCACCTCCGTGCCCGAAGCCGTTTCCAGCGTCATCGTCGCCAAGCAAGGTGACCACTCGCCCCTAACAGTTCTACTTTGCTTTAGGTTCTTAAAAAAGATGTTACGAAAGGAAATATTTCCCAGGGCACGGTTCGATGGGCATCAGCAACTCCATCGGGTCCAACACGTTCGATATTCTGCTCTGCCTCGGGCTACCGTGGCTCATCAAGGCGGCGCTGACGCCAGCCGAACCAGGACACTACTGGGTGACGACTTCTTATTTATTAATTCTTACTTATACAACTCATAGCAGCCTTGCGAATACAAACATAAGCTTGGCGAATAGCCCCGCGAATAAATGCAAGGCGAATCATTGAATATGTTCCACTTGTCCCATAATTTCATGATATATATATTATATATCCCTCTTTCAAACTATATATATATATATATATATATAGTTTGAAAGAGGGATCTCGATCGATGCGCACAGCACTCGTGTGTGGGAATTTTTTCGCATGGTTTAATGTAAGATGTAATGAATAGGTGAAGATAAACTCGATGGGGCTGGAATACTCGGCGATATCGTTGCTATCGACGCTGCTTATGCTCTACCTCACCTTCTGGCTGAACAAGTTCCGGCTGGACGCAGCTGTGGGGCGCGCCTGCCTCGCCATGTACGCTCTTTTCCTGCTGCTCGCCACCCTCATCGAGCTCAACGTCTTCTTCCCCGTCAACGTGCGCACCTGCAGAAGAGCCGAGCTCGCCTCTTAACCGATTTTCACCCTTCCCTTTCCTGCCCCTTCCCTACCAATATCGTACGTATCCGTGCAGTTGTTTACCCTTTCCTGTCCGTAAATTTCGTACTTTGACGGTCTGTTACATTTATAAGTAATAAGTCTCATTTGGCGTTCGAATGAAGTAGCGCGCGCCACATTCGAGACAGATCCTTATGGAAAGATGCTGCCGCTATGTATGTTTGTAAGTTTTCATTTATCTTCTGTATTTTAAGCACAAATAATGTTTGAGATAGGATGTTGGCATTCTGCAAATAGGGCATTAATATATACAAGAAGGCGGGGGCGGACGTGTATAGATACGTGCCAGTACTGTTCCAAAGGCCGAGGGATCCGATTGGCGCTGCAACAATTGACTCAATTGCGTCGCAATCGCATCGACGGCTCCCTCTGCCTTCATAAGCAGATAATTACTTTGTAAATTCATCGAACGGCATTCCACCGGTCCGTCCGTCCGTCCTTCCGTCCGTCCGTCCGTCCGTTTTTACGGTTGTCGGCTTCGGTTGTGCTCATTATCAACGATCAGTACCTGCGATGAGAACGCTCCGCTATCAATATAGAATACCGAACGGAAACTTGTTTTGTAAATAAATACATAATATTTGGTGTGGAGTTTTAGGTTAACTAAATATATTAATTATGAAATTAACATTGGGAAATTTTATTTTGAACATAATCAGTCCAAAGATATCTTGAAAGAAATGTACGTATATGTAGATAAGATAAGCCGTTTGCTGAAACTAAGTATTAAATCGCAGACAGGGAGCTTTGCCACTGGCGCCACTACCAGCTACCCGCGCTGTGTGCACCCCTGTGGGTTTGCTTGCTCTCAACCTATAAAGCTACGTCATTTTATAAAAGCTCAAAGTTTTCTGTGCGTGTCTCGTATGCAGTTAAAAACAACCAACCACTACAGAGCTTGGGTTGTGTTTACTTGAGCAGTAGCGACAGTAACATAAACTGTTTGAAATACTATTTTAAATTCGTTAAAGCATAAAGAAAAAAAATCTTTTTGAAAAATAACTTTAGAAAACTTCTCGGAGACTACTATTGTCGCTACTTCCTGCTAAACGCATACATTAAAAAATTTAACGTACTATTTACCAACAAGAAACCACAAACATAACTTCAGACGTTGCTCGTTTATACTTGACATAGACTTACTTGGCACAGAAGGTCTGGAAGTCCAGTCCTTGGCGTTTGCTCTATGCCGCAGAAACAGAAGTCCGCGCTACAATGCTCACCAGACAACTTTATCTACCTTTCATAAAAACCTATTACATTAACAGTGAAATTATAGCGATAGTTACATTTAAATGTCAGCCCTTATACACCACACCACCTGTACACCTGTACACCTGTTTGATGAAAATAAATTGGCAAAATATATATGAAATGATATTATACTATACTATAGATGTATATTTTGTTTACTTTTAGCAAATAGAATAGAAGATTCATTGCTACTTAACACTACTACTGCTACATATATATACATGACTAGGCTGGGGCGCACCGCAAATTATGTATACCAGCCGGTCAGGATCGTTATGAGACAGAATCATGATCTCCACTCAGATTTAACTCCACTCCAAAACAGAATACTAAAGCTGAATCAGTATTCGAATCGGTCCTGAATATATATGGGGGTTGGTTTCAGTCAACGACACCAATAACTCGGCACTCGGATGCCCGCTCCCCGCTCCCCGCTCGCCGAGCCATCAAGCAAACCTCTAAGTAAGAAGAGGTTTACACCAACTTCTTTCCATCAAAATATAGTCAAAACTGCGCCTCTATATATGTTTCATTAAACCCTTGAAAATTATTTCTCCTCGCTTTTTTTTTTCAATGAATTATGAAATATAAAAAAGGGCAAGGTGTCTTGTAATTTCCAGACAATACATGAAAATAATTATTTTAAAGGAAGTCTACGAAAGCAAAACTACAATTTTTATACAAAAAAATAATACATGTTACTTTTGTAAAATACTTGGTTTTTTATTTATTTTCAAATTAAAATACAATTTTCAGTGTAAAACAAAGCTTCACACATAAGATGACAATCAAAATATCTTGCCTTCTTCTGTGTGCAGCTCCTTAGTGCTGGAGTTGTTCTTCTGAAACAAACGGCACATTTGAAATCTTATGTAAATCTACCTAATGTATCCGCTTCTTTATAATAACGATTTGTCAATAAATTTGATATTTGGTGTAATAAGTAAGTGAAACCCTAATATGATAAAACTGTTAGACACACGTCGTTAGAGGGGTTGATGTGAAGTCGGTCAAGTGAGGTGCAGTGGTCGGCGGGAAGCGCGAGCTCCGTAGGGCGCGGGCGCGGGCAGTGCGCGTGCTGCGCGGGGAGCCACCGGTGCACCACCGGGGTCAGCAGGTCACGATGCACCTGAAAGAACAGCACGTTACGCAGAAGCAGAAAGAGGCTTGAGCGAAGTGGGCGATGAATGGCAACCACAAAAGAATCGCTTATGCAATTTCTGAACTTAGTGCCCCTGAACACACGAAGTGATAAAATTCTTTATTAATGACAAAAGCCGCACGTAATAGTGATGTAGAGATGAACAACGCTAGAGAAGAGCGGTAGAGAACAGATACCATAGCGGGGTCGTTGGGCGTGGTGCACCAGGAGACGAGCAGGCCGGTGACGACGCACACCGCCGTGCCCACCAGCGTGTAATACAGGTAGCTCAGCCGGTACAGGAAGAATGTTCCCGACCTGGAAACGACCTTTATTTTATTTTTATTATTTATCTTAAAAATATTAGCAAATTTTTGTTAACTTAAAAATATTTCTTGTAGCTCGGAAATGATACTGGAATGTGGTGCACGAAAAAAGTCGGACGGCGGGATTCGAATCCGCGACCGGTAGATATTGCATGAAATATGTTGACTTTTAAAGTTGCAAGCGATAGCGCTCATTTACCTATACACAATTAAATTACAAGAAGCTATCATGAGGCAAGCCTTGTTCCGATACTAAAGTTCCCGCGAAGTCCGAATTATGTTATATCGTATGCACGTACTGACGCACTGAAAATGAAATGAGCGCTGACTTAAAGAGTAAAGCTAAATTGACAGGGGAGTAATGAGCACCTGTCGTAGTCGGCGCGCGCGGCGATGATCGTCAGCGCGGAGGCGTTGGTGGGGCAGCCGTCCACGGAGCTAGGCTTAGGTGCCAGAAAGAGTTGCCCGCGAGCGATGGCCGCCTGCGTGCCTAGCGACATCCAGCCCACCAGCAGTGTGGACGCGATACCGCCCGCCATAGCACCCTGAACACAGTAAGGCTTTTATTTCTTTACATTTTCGTCGCATTTCCTTCGACCGTGAACGAAACCGTACCAACGTTATCGGTCACCATTAGCTTGACTGTGCCGCCAAAAATACTTGACATGAAATGAGTTCTCTCGTACATATAATTAATTTATAATATACATATATAGAAAAATACAAAACATATTTTTAAAACACTTAAATTATATGTATATGTCAAACAACACGGAGATTCGTGAATATAATAAATCTAGACGCACTTAAAACTCTTATCCAACAAATCCAAAATCTTTACGAGGTTAACATATTGCATTTATTTGTTTGTTTTTACTCGTATTGAGCGATGACAGCGTCGGTGGCACACGTCCTGAGTTCGACTCCCGCCATGTACCAATGTGTTTTTCGATTTTCTTCTTCGTTCTTACGGTAAAGGAAAACATCGTGATGCAACCTGCACATATCTGTGCTTAGGGTAGGCTCAGAGCCCCTCGGTGGGGACGTATGTATAGTGAGATGATGATTATTATGATTAGAATATATCTAAAAAGTTATTTACCTGATACATTAAAAACTTGATTTGTCTGTTATTTATTTAAGTATACTATTTAATCTTTTTTATATGTAATGTTTAGTTTGTTTGTTAATTATATATGGCTGGGGCTGGTAAGTATCTTAATAAAAAATTAAGAAATATAACAGAGAAGGAGAAAGCGCATCTCTTCACATTCACACAAACTTCTATTGTCGTTGTTATACATTATGTTTATAGCAATGAACACAGAACAATGTTAATGTTAGGTGATAGGTGAAGACAACACAGAGAGAATTGTCTCACGGTGGAGTTCACCCAGGGCAGGAAGAGGCCCATGGAGAACATGCCCAGCAGGCTGCCGGCAGTGATGCCAGCCAAGCTTTTGCCCGCCTGTACCAGCGCGCCCAGGTGCTCGACTAGGAACACCAGCGCCGCGCACGCGCCGCCTGGGCACACAAACGGATTTTCTCTCCTCCTACGTACATCTGAGTTTCAAAAGCCGAAATACCTGTATCTGTTGTTTATTATATTGCTTTATTCCAAGATCATTGTTTTTTAAATGAAGTAACAGAGGTAGAGGTCGCTTTAACATCTTCGCACGAATTGTCCCGGCTCGCCCGGTGAAATACCACGACCACACAGAAGACAGGCGAGAAGTGGAAGCAACGGTTACGAGGATTTCCGGTTACGAGGATGCATGGGTAGGGAAAATATTTTCTTTCTGTGCATCCTCTCCTCCGTCGATTAAAAGTAGGCAACGCATATGCAATTGCGTGTGTCTATGGGCAACGGTCACTTCGCTATTTCAGCGATTTCAGGTGGCCGCTCGCTCGTTTGCCACCTTATGATATAAAAAAAAGAAAAGATATATTTTTCTTGTTGTGTTTTAAATTTAGCATATGCTTCGTCAGTAGCGACCCGACGTACCATAATGTAAGAATAGGTTTCGAATCGATGTGAATGCTCACCTATAAGCACAACAATAATCTTCATAATGAAACTGGCCGCTCGCTCTGAGATGGGCGTCTTGTATGCAGGTCTGATGAGGTCTTCGAAGATGACGCCACACAGCGAGTTCAGGCCGGTCGACATCGAGCTAAGAGACGCATTCGTCTTCAAACACTTTATTTGTTGATTTATAAACGTCGTTTTTATCAAACCAAATACTAAATGAAAGAATTACTACAGAACTTCCATATTTATTTGTTACAAACAAATTATCTATTCTTCGTGTTTAACCCCGAGTGAAGCACTTGGGGGTTTTATTCGTACCTGAGTGCGGCGCTGAACACCCCGCTCATGAAGAGGCCGGGCAGAGCGGGAACGGGACCGGCTAGGCTCATCACAAAGTAGGGCAGCAGTTGGTCGCTCTTGCGGATAGCGCCCGTTGCCAGAGGGTCACAGTTCGCGAACGTCGCGTAGATCACCAGCCCCGTGTAGCAGCAAAGGGACACAATTGTAAAGATGCCAGCCGCCATAATGAATATTGTTCTGCAACAGACGATATAATATACACCATTTCTATAAATTGAGAGTGACGACGGTGGCGAAGTTGTTAAGCGCTTATCCATGTCCCCGCCATGTACCAATGTGTGTTCCTATTTCTGAATTCCATATATCTAACGACTTACTGTGCAGGAAAACATCGCAATGCAACCTGCATAACTGGAAAAGAAATTCAAAGATATATGTGAAGACAAGCAACCTTCACTGAGCCGGCGTGGTTGACTATGGCCTAGTCATCAACACCCACTACAGGTAGGAGACGGCGAGGCGGTGCTGCACTGTGTCAGGTAAACAGATTGTAACTTACATCCGTGCTCGTCTAAGGGATGAGAGTGCGAGGCAGCGTTGAACCATAGCCTGATTGACCGAGCAAGAAGCGAGCCAACCGAAGTAGTTGCCGAACACGGTGGTCCAGAATGTGTGCCGGAGAGTCGGGTCGGGGTCCATACTGACATAATTTTAAGAAATTTGATACTAAGTCATTAAATAAAAACACTTTTTTTTCTGAATATAGTTAGTATGCTGATCTATATAAAGATTAAAACCACCACGGTTTCTACTTATGTCTTCTAGTGTCAAGTTTAATTACATCCAGCGTAAAATGACTTTTGCTTAACGTTTACTTGAAGAATTCGAGACGCTGCCCTTCCTCGTTGATTCTGAAGACTTGAAGCACGCCGCCGAGCCGCCAGGTGCCGTACGCAAGCACGAACACTACCCCGAGGAACATGAGGCCAGTCTGCAGCGTGTCTGTCCACACGACCGCCTTCAGCCCACCCTAAAACAGGGTTATCAATTCATTTTACATGCCCAATGGAAAAGTATAAATTCCTCGTCTAAAAAATCTTGCACGTTGGCGCCGATTTAAGTAATTCAATAATAGTTTTGTGTGTGTAGTTACTTTGGTTGATACGTTGATTGTTGGTTTGGTTAGGATTGCGCTGGAAAGGAGGAGGATATTATCTGAAATCCTAAGCGGCTAAGTCAATAATTGTAGGTTAACACAATGACAGTTTCTTCTAAAATTGGCAATGTTTTTGGTACAGGCTTTGTAGTATTTGCAACACGCCTTCGTCGAGAATCTACAAGCGAGTATCCGGCGGTCGTGCGAGTGTACTCCTATGTACTGTTTGCGGAACTGATTATGAAATCATTGGGTCTCATACTCACAAGCGTCGTGTAGAAGATACATACGAAGCAGACGATGGGTGTGATCATGTGCAGGTTGATGCCGGTCACTGCGAACACACAACAAACGATACAAGCAAATTGAGAGCCCTATAAAAAAAACACTTTTACTAAATGAAATGGTAGTGCTGAGGGAGGGAGGGTGAGAACAGGGGTTTCTGAAGTTTGAATGATTGCGTATAGCGGATATATGTAGGTATAGCGGGGAGTAGTTTTGCAGCGTGTTAGGTGCAGCATGCAACATGCAGCATACCTTGGCTGAAGGCCAGAGCCGGAACGTAGATGACGATCGGGATGTAAAGCATCATCTTTATGATGAAGATGACGGAGCCCAACAGCCGCACCTTTTGGTTGAACCTCAGCCGCAGGTACTGCAGCCGACAAGCTTAAGTTAAATTAACAACTATAAAGTATGAATGTATGCGGTGTAGTTCGAGAGCGGCGTTGACGTGATGCTGCTCCGTGATGCGTTGCATGTACGGCGCCAGCGCACTGTACGAGCAAGCAAGAGGAGAGCGGACGCGGACACTTGTCCCTTGCCGCTCACCCACTCCGTCACGTGGACGTTACATTTCTTTTTTGCTCCAAGCTAGCGATGTTTTTGTGTTAAGGGAAAGGGAAACGCAAAACGCCGGGCCCAACGAGGTGATCATCGACGACCGTGTACATCCGCAGCACAAGAAAAACTGCAAAAGCGTTGCCGGGCAGTTTGCATAACTTCCACAGGCGGCGCGGCGCCGAGATGCAACATAGGAGGGCAACTGTTTTCAAGTTGCCGTATGAGTTTGCTACTAGTCTCTGCTGTAGCAATAAAGCATCAAGTATTCAGGAAGAATGCGTGGGTCGACAGTCTTTGGCAACTTTCTACTCGTATAAAAGTTAATGAAGACAGGAATAGGTAATAAAATGCACGTTTTATGCATGCCAGTACTAGGCTTACATAATGAGTACGCGTCAAATTTGTCTATTTTGTATTACGAAATAGTTATCATAATACTTATTTTACGTTGAAAGTATTTGTACGAAAGGGTTAGGCGACTGCGAGTCATACTGTATGTATGTGCTGGGTACCTACCGCCTGTAGCATACGAGCAGCGCTCACCTCGTACGCGGAGGTGATGTGCAGGTTGTAGAAGACGGGCAGGTAGACGGCGGCCACTGTGAGCGACACCAGCCACTCGGAGAGCACGATGGCCCACAGCTGCGTGCCGTAGGTATACATCTCGGCGGGCAGGCCCAGCAGCGATATGCCCGATATGTAGCTGGTACAAGTTTCGTATGCGGTAACTACTTGACGACAAACTTACACATCACGTCGTAACAATTTGCACCAATTATCTATAAATAGATGCGATATTAAGACCCCGTGAGGATATATGTACCTTGCGATAAGAGACATCGATATGGGAAACATGCCCATAGTCTTCCCGCCCATCAGGTACTCGGCGGTGGTGTTCTGCCTCTTGGAGGCGAAAAAAGCGAAATAAACGCCAATGAGGGCGGAAGAGAGCAGCATCGCACCGAAAACCACGTAGTCCAGCCACCCAAAGTAGATCGTCATGTCGTCAGGCGGCGCCGCGCGTTGTGTCTACGCGACCTATGTGTCGCTCACTCCCCGACGTGGACACAATAGCGCGCTAGTTCGCCGCAATACCGGAACCCGGAGCCGGCCACTTGCTATATTTATCCTTGGAAGGATCTCGGTCGGGCCCATTGGAGGGATGAGCCTCGCTAATTGACTATTTACCGGTCGCGCACTTCGCCTCGTTGCTGCGTCGCCGCTCCTAGATGTATCATTGTGACGAGGCGCGACCCACATTGTCCGCCGCGATCCCACTCGCGCGACCTCTCCTACGTACTTACTTACTACTAAATAGTCAACTTCGGAATGATACCCAATACGCTGAATTTTACTATATATATTTGGATATGTAAGAAAAGTCTTAAACATTACATAAAATGTTATGTCTGTCTGTAAGTTATTAACTAATAAATAACCGTGTGGAAATCATCTACAAATATTAATATACAGAACAATTTTAACAGAAACAGCTTTCTGAAGAAGAGTCCGTCTGCAAACCGCACCAGCTGCCACCCGCTGACGGTGTTCCGACTGACGAGAGAGAGAGAGGACCAAACACAGTGAAGTCATCTCTCACGTGACACGCTGCGCTGCTCCGCATCGCAACTTCCACTACACTACACTAGAATAAGAACCTGTGATACTGCAGGTTTATCTTGGTTATTCCTCCAACTATGGCAATGTGGCACCAATCAAGATGCGAACTATTGAACATCTCATTGAAAATTCTAATATCACGCAGGCCCCTGAGTGATGAAGATGAAACTCCAATCTCAAACCCCCAGGCATTGTCAGCAGTGAATGATTTAAATAAAAGCACGGTCCTTTAGAAATCGTATTACCGGGGTTGTAGTGTTATTTTATATTTTAAGTCAATTGTTGCTTTTAGTCATTTTCAAGTATTTGGTTAATGTTTTTAATTAGATTTATGAGGTTGTTCTATTATAATAATTAAATTCAAACATTTTATATCCAATATTAAAATCTCTCGAATACCTCAAAATAAATCTCGAATACTCGATAAATGTATTATATAAGAGTCGTCATCGAAAAGTAGGAATTGAATAATAATATATGTTTTTATTTCAAAGATGTGAGTGTAGTGTTGAATGCGAACATCAGGTTGCTGTCTTTGTGCCGGAAGCGAGGTGTATGGGGGAGGAGCCCAAAATAAAACATCTCATTTTTGTTTACATGGTTTAATGTTTGGTTTACATTCATGATTGGATTGAAGAACAGCCTGGAGGAGTACAAACCGCTATATTCGAATTCAATGGAAATGATAAATTTTCTTAACACATTTCGGTGGCGGACAGTAACATCATTGTCTATGGATTTATTTTATAATAGTTAGTTAGATTCTGTGATGACAGCCTAGCCCGCCTTATAAATGTAAAGTTGTTTAGATTGCTTTGTTATAATTTCTCATTGATATTGAATTCGACTATACGTACATATTTAGTGAGAGTTACATTGATATTGGCAAGTGCTACATGCAGATGATTTACGCGTTGTCATATTGTTGTAGAGAATGGAGTGATTAAGTATGAAGTGATCAGGCCGGCCGTGCACAGCACAGCACAGCGCAACACAAGTCGCACAATATCAATCTGTGCTTACCAGTCCAGCTTTTACACTGGCACTGGCACTGACACGGCCTGTTACAATCATAAAAACTAATATTCACAAGAAATTTAAAAAATACTGAAATATAAACTCCAGGCGTTCAAGCGTCTGTTTTTGTTAATTACATCATTTTTAATAAGATACAAGAGAAATTTATACGAACGAACATAATGACAGATTACAATGACAAACACAAAAAACTATTATTTTTATAAGTAGAAATAAAATATTAAATTTATTAAATTACAGATGTTTCCAAAAAAATCTTAAATAATCTCCCACGTAGGTACGAGTTGTTACTTATTATTTATTGTACGTGATGTTGACAAGCAAGCGACGATGGGAGGGAACTAAATATCATTATATGAGAGAGATGTCCGGGTGTAGGGAACTGCTTTTCTCGTGTATGGAAAAAATCATTCAAATACACTTAGCTACACAGAAAGAACACTTAAACTATGACCATCGTACTTTACGCTACATTTGGCGGTCATCGGTTTGCGACCTGTTCTTCCGTCCTGTCTGTATTAGGTAGGGTACAGCGCATAGAGCATCACGGCCAGTTCACGCTGCGCCACGCGACACCTTGCTCATCCCGGACTCGCTCTTTTATATCGAACAGTATTCAGATAATCCTAATTGTTGTTGTTGTTGTCGTGGCGCCGCTGCGAGCTGGCAGTGTGGTACAGACAGAATAGACAGGTTTCAAAATTACCGCGTGCCGAATTTTTTTTTTTCAATATTCACAAAATCTGCTTCCGAGAATCGAAATCATTGGAATCGTTTCAGTAAAATAGTATCGAAACATTTGGCATGTATTTTTTCAAAACACACCCAATGACACTATCGTGGGTTGGGGACAATCAAAGCCTTGGGCAAAGTGAAGTTCCCTTTTCCTTTTTCACATTTTCAACACAGAGAAAAGAGAAACGTATGGTAATTTTAGTATTTATACAAATGTTGGACTCTCAATTTATACATAACGTGTCAACCAGATTCCTATTTGAGAAGTTGTGTACTTTCGTTACGTAAGGGTTGTTATGTTCTGAAAGATGTTGGAACTGTGTGAACGATTGGTTAAGTTAATAATATTTGTTATTGAAATACAAATACAGAGAAAACAGAGCAGAGCAGAGAAGAGCACAAGGCCTAGGCCACGTGGCCTTACTCCCTACCACGTCATACCAGACCATATACGACACGACACAGCTGACACGATGCAGATTACAGCTAATTTGTTTGGATGTTTGCCTGTAATTTAATATAACGCAGTTTGTAAATCAATCAATCAATGATCAGGAGCAACTTGATATTTTTAAAGATGTAACAGTTTTACAAAAGAACATTATCATCACTGCAAAGTGAACAACAAACATCTATGTAGCTCTAGTCGCTAATCGCACATTTGATTTTAGGAAAAGAATTCAAGATAAAAATACGTGACAAAACAATTAGGTTTACCTAAAAACTTTTTTAAGAGTTATTGAGGAATAATCCTAATTGATGTTAAAAGGGTTTGTATTTAGTATTTTGCGTTGAATGCAAAGTAATGACGTGGACGTGAATGTGAACGGAAAGGCGTGGATGGTAAGCCTCCTTTGGTGCCTGCATTGCCGGCTGGGCGTCGGCTGAGCGTCGGCTGAACGTCGGCTGAGCGTGAGTGGGGGGCGAGGCATGATGATTTTATTCACAGCACGTCACTACTTGTGCACTTAACACTATGTTTGATAATATTGTAACTATTATGAGGTATATATCGAAAGTTTACTCTCTATATTAAAAAGATTTTTTGTTTTTGTTTTTTTACTAACATATATGTACACATTAATGTCCGCATCCAAAGATACGGCACCAGCTTAATACAAATGAGGTTTCTGTTCAATCACAAGTAATTTAAAAACTATTTAGCTAGCAATAGCAGCGAGGGGGTACCGAATGCATTGGTAGTTCCATGACGTGCTCGCTCGGAGACGCAGGTGTACGCCAGAGGTGTAGAACATTGGTGTAGGACAGTGGTGTAGGACAGTGGTGTAGGACAGTGGTGTAGGACAGTGGTGTAGGACAGTGGTGTAGGACAGTGGTGTAGGACAGCGGTGTAGGACAGCGGTGCAGGACAGCGGTGCAGGACAGTGGTGTAGGACAGTGGTGTAGGACAGTGGTGTAGGAC